CGCTCGTATGCTATGCTCAAATCGGTGTCGCTGCTGTCATTGGGGATAGAAGACTGCAGCGGTTTGTCGTCGTCAAGACTCTTCTCCGAGTAACATGGCCCAGACTCGAGCCCGGATTCGTCGTCCGAGGAGGTATACGTAGGTCTCGGGACGACAGCTTGTTGAATCCGAGATGGCTGTAATAACAGAGTCATGCGTCGTAAAGCACGGGGCGGGAGTTGCATTGGCGGGCATGGTGCGAGAGGGGCGCCTCGGGATACGTCGAACGTCTGGCGAAAGGCATCGTTAGGCGCGTGTTCCAGAGATTTGCCTTTGTTAGGTCGGGCGCAAGACGGGAAGCCGCCCATCTGTTACCTATGGCGTTGCTTGGAAGGGAGCAGACGACGTAGAGCATGGAGGCTCTTATACTTATCACGATAGTGCAAGGACCCCTCTGAGCTGGCCGGATGGACGCCGATCGATCCTACAGGGTTCCATACTTGACTCTTGGGCGCTCCCTTGGCCCTGTTAGCCCTGTACTGCAATTGAGATCAGTCGAGAGATATGTGCGGTCGGCACGATAATAGAAGCCGAAGGGGCTACCAGCAAGCAGTACTGATCGCGCCATTGAACGTATAGCAAGCCGTTGTGCACCCCAGTCACCAGGACAGCATATGCGGCGGGAGGCAGGCGATTTCTGGACGAAATGTCAAGCAGGACAGAGTGCATGAGGCCAACAAGATACCTTTGGTCTGGCCGCGCGCTGACATGGAACTAGAGGTACCGCCATAGACATAGACAACTTGCCGATGGTACGGAAAGCCTAGGGTATAGCATCTTAGCAAGCAGCTCGAGAAAACAGCGCTGGTCTGGACGCGTACCGGAGAACAAAACCTCCCCTTACCTGTCATGTGCAATCCAATGGTGGCCGTTTTGACATCCAGCATTCATCCATGCTGGGATCGACCTGCGGCTCCGTCGATGTAGCGCATAAGCAACGTTGGACGTTAGCCAGACACACTAGTCACCGGTATGAGCACAACGCGACGCGTACGCCTCAGGGACGCAGACAAAGGTCATTGAGGTGTATGCCAGACAAGCATAAACAATTGGATGGGCTTGCTATTGTGCCAATTGTTAGAGGTATAACGTGGTGCATAAGCACGTAGACTCACCGGACCCGTCCACTGACTACTGCTTCCACTGGACACAAACATACATGATCTAGCGCCCAAGTCGCCTCGGCCGGGCATCTGACATATCATAACCGCGCGGACAACATCTGCACAATAATCGAGACTCTTCCTCGGTCGTGCATGCATCATGCCTCGAGCGAAAACAGAAGCGAATTGCGATCGATAGCACAAAGAAAACGGGATCGAAGAAATACATAGCGCCGAGTCCGTACCTCCAGTGTCCAGCTCCTTCTAGTCCTCCCCGTCCTCATCCTCATCCTCGTCCTCATCCTCCGACACCTCCAACAGCGCCTCCTTCATCAACGCCTTATCGCGCCGCCGCTTGCTTGAAACCTCGTCCAGAAGCACAAGCAGGTCCTCCTGCTCCTTCTCCACCGCCTCCCGCTTCTCCACCTCCGCAGCCAGCTTTGCGCGCCCCTCCGCGAGTTCGGCCTGCGCCGCTGCCAGCGTTCTCTGCACCCCCGCGAGTTCGCTCTCCGCCGTCGTGCGCTTCTGCGTCTCCGCCGTCAGCGCCGCGCGTAGTTGCGACACCTCGGCGCTGCCGCTGCTCATAGCGGCCTCCGCGCGGAGGGTCGCTGCTTCATCCCGTGCGGCGTCCAGCTCTGCGCGCAACTCGCGCGTCTCCGCGGCGAGCTCGATACGCATGAGGTTCTCCGTCTCGGCGCGGATCTCCTCGCGCAGCCGGCGTTCGAGCGCTGCCGTATCCGGTGGTGGTGCACTCGTGGATGGCTGGATTATGGGTCTCGTTAGCTAGGTTATAGATCTACGAATGATTATAGGGCCTCACCGCCGCCTGTCCCACTGCTGCTTGTAGGCGCGCGATCTCGCGTGCCTGGTCTTCGAGCTGCCGTCGGAGCCCAGCAATGAGCGCGGCGCCCTCGGATGCGGACGACGTCTGGTCAGGATCCACTGAGAAGCTCCGCTGGATGGTATCTGCGCTCGACATGTCAGTCAGTCCACGAGCTAGCTAGCTGAAGCAGACCGCTAGCACGCAGACCACCACTCACAGTAATTTGTCTTCCAGAACTCCACAAACGCCCAGTCGAACCATAGCTCGCCTTCGTCCGAGGCGGACGCGGCCTCTTCGGCGTCTTGCCCGTAGCTGGCGCCGTCCAGCCGTGGTCTGGGGATCACGACCGCATCGGGTGCAGCACCGGCTAGACGCGTGTCCTCTCGTAACCGCGCCATTCGTCCGAGCAGGTTGTCCACTCCCAGACGGTCGATTATAGGCCGGATCGTTGCCCTACGTGGATCACGGTTAACGCGATGAAAGTCGCCATGCAAGCCTCGAGAAACGACGAAGCAAGTCTAACCCACCTCGTTATCTCGCCCGGCTCGCGGTCGAACTCGTAACATATACCGAGCAAGACTGCGCACAACCCGGGCACCACCGCATCCGCGTCCGTCGCCTGATTGATTGGCTCTACCAGCTATAGCTCGTCCCGATCAGCTATCGTGCTGAGTGTGAGTCGGACAGCGCACTCACCACGCCCACGCCGCCGCTATCCGCAAACTCACGCACCGCTGCGGGATCGTCCCACAACCACTGACTCAACAGAGCCACGTACGCCGCCACAAGCGCGTCCAGATCACGCCGAGCATTCCGCGCCTTGAGCACGCTCTGTATGTCGCCCTACGCAATGATTACTTAACGTCAGTGTAGACGTGTTATGACAGCCCACTCACCCCATCGCCCTCGCCCTGCTCGCTTTGCCGGCTCCGCGCCAGCAACGCAAGACTAAGGTTCTCGCAGAGCATTGGTATAAGCGCCTGTGGCGGATCGTCGTCGTCGTCCTCGGGCTCCTGTTGGGGTGGCGGCGGGGCGCCACCGTCTGCAGGGACGAACAGGCCACCCGGACCGCTGCCGGCACCGGATGGGAGGACGGGCTTGATCGCACGCGCGGCAGCCTGCCAAGGGCATTAGCACGATGAAGAATGAATGCATGAAAGATAAAACCTTGGCGGCTGGTGCGCTGCGCACGAGATGAGCGAAGAGTACACAAGCGAACTGGGCCCCTACGTCCGGGGAGGATGCTTCCGGAGGGGCAATCAATGAATGCAGTAGCGGCGTTATTGGAGGCGGGGTGGTAGAGCCTAGACAGAGTGAGTGTCAGTCAACGTGATGAATGATACTGGTATGCCCGATTTACCCTCTGGCGGCACCATCGCCTGCACGATAGCCGACTTTATCTCCTCGGTGCTCACAAAGTTCTGAACTCTCCTCATTAGGTAGCGCCGCACATAAAGGCAGGCGTCGCACCTCAAAGACACCTGCCGCTGCTGCCCGAAGCTCCAGTTTGTCCATCCTGCGAGCGCCGGTACTGGGGCTCGGATCCCCGTCCACGCCTCCATATTCTCCAGCGAGAACCATCTCGACAAGGGCATCTAGAGCGCTAGCCGGCTCGAGGCGGTCCCACTCTTCTCCGCCGCTTCCGGGTACTGGCACGTAGGGCGTGAGAGCGAGCTGGGGTAGAGGTAGGGCGAGTCGGGCAGGAAGGAGGCGGAGCGCCTGGGTCTTGAGCGTCGTGGTTGCATTGCTGGCGAGCGCGAGCTCGATCAGGCAGCGGGCGAATGTGAGCTCTTGTGGACTGGCGCCACTATTGTGGATGAGCATGCCCATGATCGCGAGCACGCGGCTCGCATTCGCGGTCTTTTGCGGGTCCCAAAACTGGAGAGCGAACTCTTGGGGTGCGGCGTCATGAAGAGCGAGGTGTGGTGGAAAGGCGAGGAGTGCGCATAGTTGAGGGGGGAGAGCCGTTTCGCGGAAGAATGCCTGGGGAAAGGGTCAGCTACGTCCGTGGCGCAGAGTAAGTACGACTGCGCACCTGATTGGAGGAGTTGAAGCGAAGGAGACCGTCGAGGCAGACCAGCGCTTCTTGTGCGACCGGGCCGCCGTCCACGCCGCCCTCGCGTGCGACGACGGCAAACAGCTTCTCGAACGCGCCCTCGAACGCGAGCACCTTCTGGATGTCCGCGCTCCCCACACTCAGCGCGCGCACCAGTGCAATCGCCTCTGCGATCCAGTCAGCTCCGTGCGCTCCGCGTCAACCACTTGTCGCGCACCAGTCCGCACCACCTCCCTGCGATCGTCCAGTACCGCCATCACGCTGGTCGCCGCGTTTGGCGCGGCGAGGAAGCGCGCCTGCACCGTGCTGCGGCGCACCTCGAGCAGGATCGAGAGCAGATGCATCGCTGGAAGTCTTGCGCCCCCATCTGCGCCGCCAAGAACCGCGAAGAGCGTCGCCGCTGCGCGTTCGTCCGAGAGCGTCGCGTCCGCTATGCGTGTGCTGTGCCCGCAGAGGGTCGCGAGCGCGTCGAGCACAGCCTTGGCAATGTCGGGGTCGATCTCCGCGTCGTCTGCAAGGACATTCAGGAGGCCTGGGAGCGCGCGCGCGGCTACATCGTCGGGGTGGTCGCGGGCAAGACCCTTCAGAGCTTGAACAGCTGCGCGTCGGTCTCCCAGCAGTGTCGCTGGCGAGAGCCGGTCGCTCAGTCTTGCTATAGTGTCCGTCGCTGTCTGAGGGGCGCCTGTAGGTCCACGTAGCGCGACATAGGTCTGCGAGAGGAACTCCATGTCGGCCTGATGGCGGTGGACGAGGAGGTCAACGTGTCTGTTGTATTCCCTTTTCGGGCAAGTAATCACGAACAATGAATTCCACACCGCTGCAAAGCAACACCGCGTTTATACGCTACTGTTCGAAAGCCACAACCAATGGCTCTGTGCTATGTGCAGATCTACGTACTACACCTGTGCATGTGAAAGCCACTGACTTGAATCCGGAAAAACAAAACGGCTCATAAACCCTACTTGCTTAGTCTGGCTATGTCTGCATGGCTCAGTTGGTTAGAGCGCCGGTCTCATATTTCAAGTGAGCGTCTTATACGACGTGTAATCCGGAGATCGCCAGTTCGATCCTGGCTGCGGACATAAGTAATTGTGCTAGTCTTTTTGCTTCGTTTGTTTGCCGACTGAGGCTGTGTGCCTCACGTCTTTGCCGACGCCTTGAGTCAACTTCAAATGCTTTGAGCACCGCAGACACTGCGCGCAAGGTTAAGATCCGCAAGGCGCTTGTGGAGTTTGAATCCGCGAGCGCCCGCGCCTTTCTTCGCGGATTCAAACTCGTGTATCTTGACCTTGCACACAGTGAGAGTCTATGCGGGTCGAAATTCGACCAGGTATCAACTCAGATGATCAGGAAAGTATTTACCGGTAAGCAGCTTCTGCCGCGGAAGTCTTGCGTATGCAGCTCAGCTGTCTATTGCGATGTGCCAAGGACGCGAGGGCCGGTAGCGAGTTGCGACGTGGGGGACCCAGCGCAAGAGCGATATCCCTAACTTGGAGTCTGGACAGATACAATATTAAGCCTATGGGAGGTTGTCGAAGGGGCTTTACTTACATCCTGTTTCATACAGACATTGCGGTGAGAAGACGAGTAAAGAGATAGGACAATGTTCTGAATCCATACAGAGGACAACGCTCCATACAGAGAACAACGTTCCATACAGAGAACAACGTTCCATAAGGATGACAACATAACTAGAAAGGGCTAGACAATACAACACACACACAGGTACGGTCCACGCCCACGTAGGTAATGGTAGAGATAGAGATAGACAGTGCAACCAAGAACTGAACAAGGAGCTTGTTGAGAGCTCCAGACACGCCGTGTTGAAAGCTCCAGACGCGCCGTCGTTGAATGCGGGACGCGACTTCATTGAATGCGGGAGAACAGACGGCATTGAAGCAGTTTAACCGCGACGGGGCTGCCGACCTTGCTTAACCGCGACGAGGCTTGCGACCTTGAGCAGCCCAATCACTCTTCGCGCCGGGTTGAGCCCAGGAATTGCCGCCGTGGCCATTCGTGCCAGTGAAGCCGCTGTTCGCGCCAGTGAAGCCGCTGTTCGCGCCAGTGAAAGCGCCGTTCGCGCCCCTTAAAGCATTCCCTCGACCGCGGCCATTCTTAAACGGCCGCTTGGGCGCAACCCACTGCTCATCAGCACCCTCACCGGCACCACCACCCTCATCGCCACCACCAACCTCACCGCCACCGGGATCGCTCTCATCCGTGCCGCCGCTCGAGCTGAACTGCCGCACCTGCGACGTCGAAAGCGAGCTCACGCCCGAGCCCGCGCCTGCGCCCTCATCGCGCGTGCGCCGACCGCGCGCATCACGGTGGTCCCGCCTCGCAGCCTCCTCCTCCCGCCTCTTCCGCTCGCGCTTCTTCCTTGCGCCCTCGATGCAGATCCCCCCGCGGCAGCGCGCACCGTGGATTGAGCAGTCGATCTTGTCGACGGGCACGATGTGCGTCTCGCGGACACCGGACCAGAGGTTCTGCGCCGGCGAGGGAGGCCTGTCGTCGTCCCCGTCGTCGTTGTCTGCGACGGACCACGGGCCGACGCCGTCCTCGTCGTCGCTGCCGAAGAGGACGTCGCTGATGGCGGCGGCTTGGTTGCCGGAGACGGCACCGCTCAAGTTTGCGGATACGGCCATAGTGTCTGCGAGTGCGTCCACGGGGTCGAGGGGGACGACGTTCGACGCCTTGGGTCCGGCGTTGATGCCGCCCCAGAGAGCCTGGCGGCGGGCGGCGGCGCTCTTCTGCTGCTGTGCGTGCTCGTCGAGGGGTTTCGGGGTGGTGATGGGCTTGTTCCCTGCAGCGATACGCGTGAGTCGCGGACGACGGACTGAGTGCCAAGACACGCACATGCGTTGGACGCCCCGACCGGTTTGGACTTGGTGGCCCAAGCACCCTTGAGAGCGACGGGCGTGTTCTTGGGCGGTGCCTGCTTCGCGTTGAGCCAGGTGGTGGATCCGACGACTGGAAGCAGGACAGTGAGCGAGAGTGCGCACGCGAATCCTTGGGCATACCTTGTCGGACAGGAGCGGGGGGAGGGGGCTTCTGTTGGACTGGAAGAGGGCGGCAGATCGGCTTGTTTGTCTTGTCCTCAGGCGGCGGCGGACACCAGTGCGTCGGGGGGTAGGGATGCATGATCACGCTGGGGACGTATTAGCGCGAGCGTCGACAGCGAGGGCAGGCCACGCACGGGTTGTTTGGCCGGAACTCGCCCTCCTTGAACCAGGCGTCCAGCACCGAGATCTGCTTCCAACCTGCGAGCGAACCGTCAGCTTCGCAGTCAATGACCAGGAGAATGCAGCGCACCGTCTTTCTGAGCCTCCCGCAGCGTGGGGTATATGGAGTAGAACACCTGCGACGTCCGCCCCATCTCCTCCTCGCTCGGATCGCGCAGGAACTCTGACCACCGGTGCTCCCCCAGCAGCTTCGAGCCAATCTCTTGACATTCGATGGAGATCTCGACGAGGACCATACCGCGCGCCTTGTCAAGTCCCCTCAGCACAGGCCACCAATCATTGCCTCGCCACACACCTTGGGCTTGTAATGCAACGCGAACAGGTACTTGTGCGGTACGATGGACGCTATCCAGCGCGCGAGCTTCATCTGGTCGCCCAGAAGCTCCATGTCCGCATTCGCCGGGTAGGGCTGGTAGATCGCGAGGAACTTGGAGTCGGGGATAGCCTCGGGTGTCTTCTCGCGCTTCGGCATGATGGATGGTGGCAGGTACTGCTCAAAGGTCAATGAGGTCTATTAAATAGGCGCCCAGGCCCGCGCACTCGGTGTTAGCCGTGACAACAAAGAAAGCCCGCACGTTGAGCGCTTGCTGAGCCTGCTGAATAAGCTATTAGTATCTCTCCATTACAACATCAACACGTGTGGGAAAGGGAGGGATAGAGAAGCTCTCTACACTCAGACTCACCGGATGCAAGACTCGAGGGAGGGTTGGGGGTGGGGGGGTGAGAAAAGAGGATGGATTGAAAGGCGCTGCGCGAGCAGAATGGCGCAGCGGACAAGAAGGGAAGACTGCTGGTTGGGCGTCGATGCCGCTTAGTCAGCATATGGTGTTATCTTCCTCCGCAGGCTCTCAGACTCTCAGAGAACAACAGTCATGAGTCTGGAGGATAAGTCATCATAATTCGCTGTGCGCTGACCAGATTAGTGCCGGCGATGAACGCGGTCACGTGCTTTACCATGCGTTACCAACGTGACGTACACGACCATTGAGGCCCGATTGGGAAACAACGCCTTCCTTCTTCGTTCTATGAATCCATTTTGGATTGTCCGCCCAGAGCATAGAAGTCCGTCCTCGAGGCAAGCATGCTAGCAACGATCTTGATGCGTCCAAGCTGGTCGCCGCCTCGCCTTGGCCTCGCTTCCCCCGCTGGCCTTCTTCCCCTTTCCGGCCGTAATGGGCGCCATTCAGGCCAAACTGGGCCACAAGGGCACTCGAAAATAATAAAACCTTGCTCTATGCAAGAAGACCAGCGTGGAAGGTTCTCTCTTTCCAACTCGAAAGTCGTCTTTCATTCAGGTGAGTCCTCACCGGATTGTTCGTCGCTTTGCACAACTCCTAGCGTTGCTCGTCATAGGTTGAAGTTCCAGATCTCCCCTCGTCCTCAAGATGTCGACCGTTGCCCTCAGCATGTGGACCAAGACCCCGCAGGAGTGGGCGGAGGAGACGCGTCGCGAGCGCGTCAACACGCGCGGGCTCGCCGCGTTCCCTCTGCTGAAGACGAAGACGTATCTCCAGTGCGTGGGCGTGTCACATCCATGGAGGCTTTTACTGACGGCTATACTCCCAGTACGATCGTCGTGCACTTCTTCATGGACATGGACCGCTACAAGCACGGCTTCGACCCGGATATGGAGGCGCTGTTCGAGCTCGACGCCGATCTCAGCCTCGACCTGACGAAGATACGGGAGAGGTGGGGGATGGAGACGTGTGCGGTATGTGGCTCTATGTACTGGTTGTGACCCTCGCTCACTACTCTCGCTGCAGGCGATCGACCCGTGCCGGTGGACCATGTTCAAGGGCGCGAGCGACGATCGCCTGTCGGGCTTCGCCGTCCAGACGCTCTTCGACAAGGACGGGGTCATCAACGTCGTCGGTGCGTTGCTCGTGCACTCCTTACCCCCACCTCCCTAACACCTCTCCCTCAGAACGCCCAGCCTCCCCGAGCGCGCTGGCCGTCCGCGCCCGGCGGCAGACGTTCCTCGCGTGCTTCGGCTGGCTCATCACCCTCGTCGTCGCCGTCTACAACTTCGTCGACTCCTTCACCGACACCCTCTTCCACCCCTTCGAGGTCGCGTTCGACCGCGCCAGCACTGCGTGCAGCGAGTGGTACCAGCAGGCGTTCCCGCCCGACTCGTTCGAGGAGGAGGGGTTGCACAGCATGATCAAGTTCTTCAAGAACATGCTCATCCTGTTCGTCCTTTTCAAGATCGGGTGGTGGATGTACTGGGACTATCACTGCTCGCAGCAGATCCAGTGCTTCTCGCGGCTATGAATGCACGGCTCGCGAACGGCCTCGGACCACGGACTCTCGCCATCGTCAACAACAAACCAATGTACTTTTACTGTGCCATATCACGCTCCCTCATATATGCCCTCCTCTCCTCTATGCTTCTTCTTCTACCTATGCCTTTCTCTCTCTCTCGGGGACGCTGCACGGACGCTACTTACTTCACTCTCGGGCACTGCTCGTACATATGCACGCCTTTTCTCTTTGTACTTATGCCCTCCTTCTCTTCTATGCCATATGCCCTCTATGCCCTTATGTACTGGCTCTCTCATCGAATAACAATCGATGATCGAGGGCTGCAACTTCCTGCTCGACAGATCGTATACTTAAGCGCCGCGGCTGGAAATTCTGAATCAGGTCGGAAACACGGTCCGCGTTCGAACTTCCTCTCCTTCGTCTTGCCTTCATTGTCCTCCCGCTCTTCCTTTCTCAGAACATAGCGTTGATCTAGCGCGTCTCTACTGAGCACAACTGCCCCTTCCATCCTTTATCAACATGTATGCATACACGACTTGCCCAAATCCCGTGCTCACCATCGACTAGGTCCTCCTTCG